ATTTTGAAACGAACTCGTGGTAATGCACGATTGAAGAAAAAACGAACAGAACGAGAAGAGAGATAGAGAAGAGAGAAAGAGATAGAAAAGAGAGAAAGAGAAAAGAGCAGAACGGTAAAGGCACAGAGGGGAGTTGGAGACTTTTATGGCGGCCCATTTGGCGCAACAACAAGCGTGGAAACTTCTTTTAGTGTTGGGTCACAGATTCCGGACGAAAATATGCGTACGATTATGGGGTTCCGGATTATCAATTTGTTATACCGTGTTTATTATTTGAACACGGTACCCGGTTTCCTTCATGGAAAACTCGGCTGGCTGTAAAACATGGATTCGTAAAATTTTCTGAAATATGTTATGTTACTGTGATTTTTTGTTACCATAATTTGTCGCAATATCGTAAAAATAACGTAGATATCGAAGAAAATTTTCTTTCATCCTAAATGTATAATTTCGAGAGATAAATAGCGAATATAATTAATATTTTTATTATCATTATTTCTTTGTACTTTTGCATTATTCTCCATTGTTTTTCTCTTTAATCGGATATTATCGTGATTGTATTTAGAAGGAAAAGTTATTTTTCCTTTCTCTTTTTTTTCTTTTTTTTTTTTTTTCTTTTTGTTTCTTTCATATCATAATTATATTATCTGAAGAATACAGATGCGAAAATCTTCATGAAACAATCTTAGAACGACTTAACGAAGGAAAAATTTTTGAATAGGAACGCTCATTAGGAACGTTGATCTTTCTGAAATTTCCGAGCGAAAATGTCGTCCATTTTAAAACACCAGACATTGCTCGAAGATTGCGCTTTCAGAGATATCAATCTTGAGACATCCCCCTTTCCGTCTAGTCCTTCTCTCTTTCTTCTTTTTCGACGACTATAGGACTAAGGCTCTAGGGATCGCCTTGCTTGGGATTTTGTCGGAGAGTTATCTTTAATTCGGTACGGATTTATTTGCCAATGAATCTTGAAATTAGATGCCGTTCTCTTTCGAAATCAAGCGATACTCATGAGTAGAGTCATTCAATCACACGCATCGTAGAATCGACGATAGAAAACGATAGATAATATATTTATTTTGGATTGTTTTCTTATCGTAATCTTTTTTTATTAAATCGATTTTGTATACGACATATGTATATAGATTATTTGGATTAAAAGGTTTCATTTATTTGCGTTTATGTTTTATTTAAATATAATATTTTATTTCAATATTTATTAATATTTAAGAAAAATATCATAGATTTATTGTTGATCAAAAATATAATTAATTCGCGAAGATAAGTAAATTTGTTGAAACTATTTCGATCCTATTTCGAAAGTTCAAGTTACAAAATAAAATTCGAAAAAAAGTAGACAATTGTTAACATTGATGGTTCACCGTCTGTCTTTATTGCGAGATTAATTAGCGAAAGGGATGGAGTACGTGTGAGAGTTGCGAAGAAGATGGAGGGGTATCTACAAGATGGCTCTTGTGAAGAAGAAAGAGGAGAAGGTTAGTGGTGAGAGTTGCTTGGATAAGACTATCTAAGGATAGTATGATTGAAGTAAAGGGGATGACGATCATCTGGCCTTCTCTCTAGCCTAGTTTTATCCCAAGGGATGCAAGGATTAATTGACACATCGGCTTACTCTTGGAGAAGCCTGGCCAAGGATGGTGACGACGACGACGACGACGACTATACGACGACTACAACTACGACAACTACGACGACTACGACGATGCCGCGACGTGACTGATGAGACGTTCGGAAGGAGACGTCGGGAAAAACACTCGTGGATTTCGTGACTCCCTTTTTTTTAGCAAGAATGTCGGCTTTTTCGGCAAGAATTATCGTGGGGAGGATATATAGGGAAGGAAGAGGGAGGTTAGAGAGGAGAAGGTTCGGTACTCTCCTGGCAAATAACTCGACTAATCAGAGCCATCTCCCTTCTCGCCGTTCCAGGACGACGACGTTCCAAGTAAAACACCTCCTATAGGGCAACTGCGATGTAACAGATTGGAATTTAATACGAACAGGGTGACACGCTCGCGCGTATCATCCCTCTCACGCACTACCACACGTAGAAACGCATCCGTATATAGATACATGCACACCCAAAACATATATCCATAGAAACGGACTAAAGCCAGCGTTTCAGTAACAGGCGTTACGTTAGTCAATGTTACCATCAAGAAAGATCCTCTTCTATCCTATCGGAGAGAGAGACCGCAACTTAGAATTCGTTAGCGGCTTTCACGGAGGCACTCGTAATAACCCGCTGACGAGTCCAACTCCTGTTGCTTTGACTAATTGAAATTCGGAGATGAATAATCAAGGAGATAGACGGCGAATCCGTCGGCATCCCTTCATCATTCATCGTCAACGTTACGAGATCTTTCTTAACTTCCTGATAAATATTTTCGAACGTTTAACGTAACTTTAACTTGACGTTATCATTTTCAAATAGATAAACGTGTCATTTTGAATAATCGAAATTCTCCTTTAACCAAATAGATCGTTTTCTTTCCGAATCACAAATCTCGTTGTACATATGCATATATATATATATATATATATATATATATATATATATATATACACGAACGATCATTTTCCACTAACTTGTTGGACCTTACGAACCATATCGAGTGGCTATAAATCTTTGAAAAGATCCGTGGCGCGAGCCACACGATGTCCTCGTAACAGAAGGTTGTACGCAACAATGGATTTGAGATACGAAGGGTTGGCGAACTTTATAGGCCACTAGGGTCGGCATTCGACAACAGTATCTTACACCGTTCTCCATTTATCTATCTATCCTGCTTGTCTCTTCACCCTCTTTCTCTCTCTCTCTCTCTCTCTCTCTCTATCTATCTATCTATCTATCTCTCCTTCACTTTCCTTTCTCTCTCTTTCTCTCTCTCTCTCTCTCTCTCTCTCTCTGTCTCCGTCTCTTTCTCATTCTGGTGGGTGAGTATAAACACCGACGACACCGATTTAACCCGATCCTAAAGTCCTGGAGTGGTCAGAGTCCATGGCGAAGGACGGTCCACGGTACACGGTGGAAGATTAAGTGTTTGGCACGAAGGTTAACCAGCCGCTGGTCGGCGGTAACACGCGGAATCATCTGTAAATTGAGCCCTGGGCGAACGGGAGAGAGCGTCGGGACGGCCATAACTCACACGGGGGTGCCTCCGCCTCCGTCAGCAACGTAGGGGAGGTAGAGTTCTCTACGTTCTATCCTACAACAACCCCCGCTACGTGTTATCCCTTATCGTCTAACAGCGCGCGGTCATCTTTCCGTGATTTGTGTGAAATTTCTTTTTCTTTTATTCTTTTTGTTACGTTAAAATATTTTTAACAATAAAAAAAAAAAAAAAAAAAAAAAAAAAAAAAAAAAAAAAAAAAAAAAAAATACCATCGCGATAAGATCTTGCAAAGGTAAAGGTCAATTGTTAATATTTAAATAACGTCTACATTCGTAATGTAGCTTGAAGAAAAAAAAGAGAAAAGACAATACTTTACAAAAGTTACATCAAATTGGGTATTTTTTTGAATTAAAATATTCAAATAAATTGATAAGATATTGCTAGGATAATTAAATGTTTTTATCCAATGGTAAATATTTATTCTATTAGATAGAAATCCATGACAAGTAATATATCGCTCTTAGGATAATTTTAATCTAAAACGTTGTGAACGAAAAGAAAATAGAATTGATTTCTTGATAGCTGCTAATATCGATGATAATTTAACAACTGAGAGAAAAAAAAAAAAGAAAAAAAGAAACATTATTTCTAATTACATAGAATCATCCGTACGAGTATTAATTTAATACGTAGAACCAAGACGATAATATTACGAGAAAACAAATGTATGAATCTATTGGAAGTGAAATCATGTTCATGCAAGAAAAAATCTAATTTTGAAAATAGGACCTTCGAAGTGTCCCTGATCGTGAATGGAAAGGCATCAACGACGATTTATCTCGTAAACAATAATTCATTGGTTTGTGAAAGGGTTGTAGGGAAGCGGCATGTGTGTCCGTGGACCGAGAAGAGCTATCGAGGAATAGAGCGTTCGTTCATGGGACGATACATCATAATTTGCTAGCTCGTGTTTGCAAATGCTCGGGAAACGTGTGGTTTTCGTGCATGATGCACACCAGATGCTTCCGATCTCGCCAAGGTTTCTCGGGTCGAAGAAAAGGAGTGGCTACGGACTGTCATTAGCCGACGGACATTGGACACCCTGTTGAGAGATACAATACAAGAGTGGCAGACTAATAGACTCCTACTAGCTACCTAATGTTGTAAGCAGACAGATCGAAGTCTATGAAGTACCACTTAATAAACGTCCGTACTCATTTGTATATTAGAGATAACTTTTCTTCGTCTTTATTTTATTTAAGGATAGGGCAAAGATGAACGACGAAGATATGTTTGTTTTCTTATGATGGGATTATTCTAATTAAAATAAAATAGTCCGATTTTATGCCCTAATGCAACTGGATATACTAGTTGTTTATTATTTTTGTTTTCCTTTTTTTTTTTCTTTTGTTATTTTTGTCACAATTAAGACACAAGTAATTGAGCTTAATACTTTCATAAAGTACCTTTGGGATACTTTGGAATGATAGGATTATATGAAAGACGACCTCAAAGTCGATTGTACGAAATAAATTGAATGAACGTTAGAGTTTGTTTAGAGGCGCATCAAATACGTAAGAAATATTAGAATGAATTTCTTATGTATCATTCATATGTTATGGTATTTATATCTACAACAAAGTGTTTCATTTTAATTGATTCATGAAAATGTTAAAATTTTTATTGACAATAGAAAATCTTGGTAAAATTATTCAGTGGTTTAAATATTCGTCCAAGAACTCTTTGCTATCTCATAAGCAATCTTAAAATCATATTATTCTAGACTAATTAAAATGAAACAATGAATATTTTTTTTACGCTAGTCTATAAAATATATCCATTTTTGTAAGAAAGAAGACTCAC